GTGTGAGGAACAGGCAGCAAAGCAGATATGAAAAAGTGAAGACATGCAGCCCTTATTTCAGTGACATATGCCAATTAACAGAATCATAATTAGTATTTCACTCCTGGTTTAGCAATTTATAAACAGATGACATGGTTTGAATCCACTTGTTGGGGCTGCAACTAACAATTATTTCCATCAATCATTCAATCTTTATTTACTTCGATGTGCAGGAATCACTGAGGACACTGAGTAGACGTCACTATCACATAAAAATTCACTATAAATCACATTTTGACATGACTGTGACTAATCTGAGGCTTCACTTTATTTGCCATCTGTCAGTTTGAGGTTTTGAGTTTTCCACTGCAGTCTTACAGTCTTAATTTGCACAGTTACTCACATCTTGTCGTTGAGTTTGCTCAGGACCGTGTCTGTGGCCTGAGACAGTTTGAAACGCAGCCGATCCTCCAGTTCAGGGAAGTCTCTGAGCGGCGTGTTGGAGATCTGGACGCTGGACAGCGCTGCTGACTGCTCGGCCAGATTCCCCAGAGACTCCATGAGCGGACCGCACTCCAACAACACACTCCTCCACACCTTCTGACTGTTCTCCAGACACACGAAGCTTCTCCTCAGCGCCTGATGGAGGGAAATTACTGCAGGTTTGGACATTTCAGGAGCCGATTATAGAGCAAAGAGAAAAGCTGCGGATGTAAAATAAACCAGCACACGTTTCCAGTTCGTTTCCCTTAGGTTCTGGCGTAAAATACTATTTTAATGAGGTTCCCATCAAGAATCCCTTCATAAAATTAATCCCCTCGCTGTTGTAGGCATCACACTTCTGCCATGTTGCCTGAACCCATTTCCGCCCTCCTGATGTAAACACCGACTGTGATTGGTCGAGAGGCATTTCGTCATGACGCCAGGCTGACGTGTGTTCTAATTGGTTCGTTCAGAATGTTGGCTCCGCCCCGCGGGAAGATTTGAAAACGGCTTTGTCGAGGCAGCGAGAGTCGAGAGGACGAGAAGGAAAAGTACAATTAGGTAATGAATTCTTTATTAAACATATATCACAGCGGTGAAAATAATTATTTGAAGTTATTTAGCGGTTGTTTACGTGTGTGAATGCAATTGTGCGGATACAGAAACTTGCCTTGTGAGCTAACGAGCTTACTAACTAACTAGCAAACACTGACGTCAACGGTTAGCTTGCTAACGTTAGCTTGATTTTAGCCGCATGTTGGCAGCTTGATTTTAAATAAAGAGACGATAATTATAACGCACCTCTACATAAAATAGCGCAACGATGTTCCTATTTTAAACTATCTATCGTGTTTTAAAACATTTCTTTCGCATTGTTCAGACGGACATGGCTCCCAGGAAAAGAACCACCAAGCAGCGGAAGAACAACCCAAAGTCCGCAAAGCTGGAAGCTTTTCTGGAGGATTTCGACAGCGAAGGTGAATAATCTGTACTTATGGTAGAAATACTTCAGTAAAACTCGCTCCTCTGTGAAGTTTGACCAACTGATTCTGCATAGAGTCCTACTGAAAACCGAATTTTAGGGAATAAAAAAATTCAGATATCCATGTATTTGCTGATATTCTTTATGTGAGTACATTATATTATACATACGTACAGTAGGGCTGAGCTATAACATAATACTCTTTTGTATCTGCAACACACGCCTTACAGCCAGAACATAGTTTTAAACCTTCACTTAAAAGCATCAGATGCAGCAATAAAAATACACAACAAAAACCTTCATCTTCTTGTGGTGCATCGTTTTACTTGTTTTTCATTGTTGTGTTAACATTAAAATTATTACCTGTAAACCTTTATAAAGAGGCTAAAGTGGTTGTAGTCAGTTTTATGTGTTCATTTATGAGAAGGTCATTTATGAATTATCACGAATTAGTGATTGTGTTTTATCATGAGAGACTTTTCAGCTGTGGCACCCAGCACAAACAGAGTACAGCGATTTAAAGCTGTAGTTTGTTGCTGTGGAACCAGTTTCCTCTACTTTCTAAATGTCTGGGTGGTACACGTTCATGTTTCCACAGTGAAGACCCGAGTCGGACAACTGAAGGAGAAGATCAACCAGCTGCTGAAAGATGTTGACAACAGCTACAACATGGCGCTGATCAAGCTCCCCAAAGCTGTGCGGCAAATGCCCTGGCTGGAGTACTGCAGTAAGTTCACATGAGCCCTGTTACATAATGAAACATGAATGCCAAATCTGAAATAATGGAACTGAGAAACTGGTCATGAAAACATAACTGCAGCTGTATTGTGTTTTTTATTGAGCAGAACATTTGTGCATTGCTGTTTTGAATACAGTTTACTTCCTGCTCCCTCTGAAAACTGGACATACTTGCCTTTATACCTGTAAAACTGATCGTCTGAACTGCTGCTCTTTTGTCTCCCTCTTCTGGCAGTGAGGCACAAATGCTGTTGGTGCGTGTTTGTGACTCAGTCGACTTGTTTTTTTTTAGATTGTAATCCTTCCTCTGATTTCAGACGATTGCTTTCTGCTATCCTATTTACTGTGGACTCGTCTGTTGCTCTCCTCTTCCAACTATTCACTGCCGATTAATCTAACATGAATTACTTCCGGTGTGCCAGCACAGGAATATCACCACAGACGACTGATTTAAACCTCCAGCACTGCTATGAAAAGGACACAGATTTACCTGGCGCTGATAATCAAACGGACGTTAATTTAACTGATCTAAGTCCGGCTCTCCAGCTCTAATTAAAAAGCATTTATCCTTCTCTCTGCAGAGTCTGAGAAACCAAAGACACCAGAAGTGGATAATGTAAAGGTGAGCTGATCATCTGTCTTTCTCATATCATGCATCATGACGTTTTTCTCATGTTTCAGATTCTCTAGTGCAGAAATGTGCTGAGTTAAACTCTCAATCAGCTTTTTAATTCTGTTAACAGCGAGAAGAAGAAGCTGCTATTGTTGAAAGCGTCGTGGCCGAGGACCACGCAGTCCTGCTGAAAACCGTTAAAAGTATGTTTTCCTTTTATTAAACACTCTTAAATCAAACAAGGCTAAAGGCAAAACGTGCTTTTGCTGATGCAGTTTGTTTTGCTCCACCCACAGCAACAAAGAAAAAAGGCAGAACCAAGTCGAGTTCAGAGGATGAAAACACCCCGAGCACGACCAGGAAGGTAAAGACAGACGTTCGGTTGACCGCACATAAAGAAACAAACACAGCCGAGTGTCTAAGAGCTTCACTGATCATTAATAAGGGGACGGGATGGTTTCTGCGCAATGTGGTTTAAACACTTGTTTCTGATTTTAGGGAAAAGCCACCAGAAAGCCTCCAACTACGTCAAAACGAGCGAAGGCCCTGACAGTCAGCAAACAGAGCACCACCATCAGACGGTAGGAGTCGTCTTTCTGTCTGTTTTTTCTTTAAAGCTTCTTCTACTGGTGCCTCAGGTTGAGCCGTTTATTTTACTGTTGGTAAAATAACAGATTATCCTCGTACACGGACAGGAAATCATAAATAAACTGGGCTGTTCAGTCTCTTACTGCATTATTGTGTATTAAACATCACTTGGTGTATCATCTAATGTCACATAATTGGACAAATGTCTGTGTGTAGGATCATTAGGGACATTAACGGAAAAGTAACTACAAAAATAAAGATTATTATTATTGTTATTAGAATAAAAAAAAACACTTATCAAAGCTTCTTTTCATACTTGTGTCATACATCTAACTGCCCCATGTGGCCTTTTCTTATACGCACATATCATCAGTACAGTTCATTAGTCTGGTTTTCACTCTGCTAATTTACCACCATCATTATTGTTTTTAGCCCTTATGATTGTATATTTTCAGCATTTCTATTACATAGTGAAAACACACAGTGAAGATGGCTGACGTGTTTCTGTCTGTGTTCAGATCCAACAGGAAGCCTCTGGTCACTCCGGCCAGAAGCATGCTGGATTCTTCTCTGATGATGGGACCAACTCCTCTCATCACGCCACGCTTTGACCCACGGTTAGTGTCGCAGCTACACTTCTGTGTTAAATTAAAACTAATTCTCTATATATTAGGACTGGTACATTGATTAAGCTCTGTATCTAAGAAAATGGTTTTGCTTTGGGACACTGTATTCATAGTAAATAACTAAAAGGGACCAAAAAACCTACTTTGCCTTCCCTGCTACGTGTTTTGCATTAAATTTGACACCTGTTGGAATCACGTGTCTCCTCCTGGTGCTCAGTAAACCCTCTGGTCCACAGCTGCAGCCACGCTGCCAGATGACGGGTCAGTGTTTGTTTACAGCCGCTGTTCTGTATTTATGTGTTCTGTTTAATATTCAACAACACAACTTCCTTCACAGTTATCGCTTTCAACTGACACATAAATGCTCAAGCTGCTACATCAAACCTCGTCTTTAAAGCACAACCTTCTGTTCTAGATCTGCTGGTGGCGTCTTTACACGAGTGTTGGGGGCAGCCGGTGATGTTCGTTCTCTGTTTCTAAATGTCAGGGCTTCACATCGCTCATCGTTTGTCTCTCCTCAGGCTTCCTAAAACTCCCGCAGTGAGAGTCCCTCGTCACAAAGAGCGAGTCTACAGCATCTCGGTCAACGGCTCTCCCATCGCCGCCGGGGACGAGGACATCGTCATCAACGTTCCCATCGGCAACGGAGAGGTGAGCCGACTGCCAGAGCCCTGCTGATCAGTGTTTGAACTGTCAGTGCTGGAGCATGCAGGGTCATAGAATCAGAAATACCTTAGTGATCCCAGAGGAAGACGGTTATTTAATGTGCAGAATTAGACTCTGGACAGTTTTAGAAAATGGCAGCAGCAGTTTGAGGGAAACAGTTTCCAAAAACCCAGCACCTGGAAGTATTTCAGATTATCACAGAACAGATTTCTCTGCTGAACCAACAGCTGCACGAGAGAAACCGCCAAGTGTTCATTAGCAGGCAGAGCTTTTGAACGTACTTTGCTGCCAAATGAACTCACAGAGCTCTGAAGTTATCTGCTGCTGCCGTAGAGTTTCCATTAAATCGTGTTTGAGAAAACGTTGCGGCTGCAGTCAGAGCTTATTCTGTTCTGACTGACTGTGTTCCTGACTGTTCCGCATCCAAACATTGTTTT